GTGACGTTGGAGGAAGTGTCCACCTGATCACTGTCACACCGAATCAGGAGCAAACAAAGCTCCAGATGATGGTGTGTGTGTGTGTGTGTGTGTGTGTAAACAGATTGGACATCTGGACGTATAGGGGTGTGTATGAATAATAATAAGATAATTACTTAAATTTTTGTTGTAGTTCCACCTTCTGCAAATTTTAAATGTTTGAACACGACTGGAGGGAGTTTCTTTTTTTTCTTTTTTTTTTTTTTACCTGTGAGCAGAACAAGCGCTGCCAGGCAGGAAAAGGCTGAGGCGTCCAGGTTCAGGCTCTGAAGATGGGTGGAGAAATCCCGGATGGAGTCGAGCCACTCTCCAAACCCACGAAGGCACTGGAACCTGTGCAGCACCAAGCCATTACAGAACACTAGTTTGTCCTCTGACATCATTGACCTGGGAGACGGAGAGAGAGAGAGGGAGAGAGAGAGAGAGAGAGTTGATGAAGACTAGTCAGATCTCAGTTTTCAAAGAACCCGCTGTAGTTCCCCCTGTGTATAGTAAATATGAGTGGAGATACCAGGGTAAGGAAACAATTACAATAAAAACAATGAGACAACCTGGCAGTATATGCACACAAAGAAAACACACATCAAACACGGGCATGTAGCTGATTAAGGTTGCGTTTTCCAAATTACAGCATTTTAAAACGTTCCTGTTTAGCTGGGGTGGGGTGAAGGGTTAGGGCAGGGCGTGCAGACTTCATGGACTGGATATGTGTGTGTGTGTGTGTGTGTGTGAGTGTGTGTGTTTTAAATAGGTAAACCATCGTGGCGCTAATGTGCTCAGGCTGCATCGGGTAGTCAAAACACAAATGAACTTAATGAGGAAATGAAAAGACTTCTGTAATGCTTTTAACCATAAGTTACTCACGACACGCAACATCCCACTGCTTCGCCATAAAAAAAAACAGCAAATGACAAAGGAGTCTTTTTATGTGCCTTAGAATTACAGTTTTCCTCATAGAATTTCTAGAAGACAACAATGGCCTGCGTCCAGATAAGGCAGGTTGAATGCACAGAACAAAGGCGGACTGGTTTAAGTCAGCGACTGACTGGAAAACAGCCGAGGGTGAGACTGGAGAGAGAAAAAAGGTGAGATGGAAGGGCCAACAGGAAAAGACTTGAATTACGCTTTGCGTAAATGTTGGTTTAGCAGTTACGAGGAGAAGAAGAAATGCCATTTGTGTCCAATTATCATTACTACAATTTCGCCATGTACTTCATCTCTCTCTCCCTCTCTCCCTCTCTCCCTCCCTCCCTCTCTCTCTCTCTCTCTCTCTGCAGAGCACATTAGCACATGTTTTCAAACACCCTCGGTCCTGCGTAATAAAGAAACCTGGCATAAAAACAGCTGTAAGAACTAGATAAAAATATCAATTATGACCAAAAGACGGAGGACAAATATTCAAGCACACATGGTCTGCAGTCAGACCTCAGACTTCTCTCCTATTAACTTTCTCATTTGAATACATATTCATATATTGCGCTCTGCCGATGCAGTCGTGGGTAATGACCAGGATCACTGCCTCAGCCAGGCCCACATCGGCATGTAGATGATCGTAGCAATGAATCAGACCAAAAACACATGGTAGGGAGCCCCGTTTAGGTCATTTCTTGACCTCAGACTTCTAGGACAAGCAGCAGAGATTTAGCTCAATATTTATAGCAGTGATTATCAAATGGCGACCAGCGGGCCGAATACGGCCCACTGAACCATCCATTCCGGCCGTGACTGAATTCACTCTGGAAACCACTTTCCTTCTCTCCTCCTTCCCTCACACCGTCCCATACTGTACAAACACACACACCCTATAGCGCCACCACTCACATCAGTACCGTTGTCATTTTTACTCCAGATGTTTAAACATAGATTCATTCACTTTGTGACACGTCTACAATTCCCTGATTATACCTCAAACATCTCCGTGGATAAAGAACGGAAGGCCATATTAGGTTTTATTTCTGTTACCATTTGACGTCTCTTTTATTAGCAGTGCTGTACAGACGGGCTGTTGGACAAGCAGGCGGACAGATGTGCACACACACACACACGCACACACTCTCCCAAACACATACGCACATATAGAGACCGCTGGATGTCTGCCACACATTCCACTCAGCCCTAACTACACTGTCACCACGGCAATCAACCGATAACCACAGAAACTGTTTGGCAACTTGGCGCTTGCAGCAATGTGGGTCCAAAAGAGCGAAGCAAATTTACTTTACACACACACACACACATACACAGCACACACTCAGCACCATACAAGCATACGCTTGCAGAGTGGGGGTCTGCGAGGCGTCTGAGTTCAACATGGGGTCACTGTAGGGCTGTGGTCCACAGTGAGAGAGGAGTGTGGCCCACGGCCCACATCCTACACTCTCACCGACCAGAGAGAGAGAGAGAGAGAGAGGAAGACAGTGTGGTGTTTGTGTGTTTTCCTCGGTGCTGTGGGAGTTCAGCTGATGGGAAGATGAGCACTGAATGTGTGAACATGTGTGTGTGTGTGTGTGTGTGTGTTTGATAAGGGCTGTGTGAGTCAGTGTCCCAGTTCGATTCCCCTCCTGCTGGGACTGTGATGCCACCACCTAACCTCTACCCACCCTGCACCTGGGCCTATGATGGAAGAAGGAGGTGGAGAGAAAGTACAGATTGGACATCGTCAACGTCCGTGTGTGTGTGTGTGAAGAAGGAGAGTGTGTGTGTCAGTTTATGAAGATGGTTCTTCACAGAAAATCCCAAAAGGCAGGAAGTGGAAAAACTGTACATTATTTCAGTGCTAAAGGTTCCTTAACTGTGACGTATTCAGCACATTAATGACAACATGTCATGTGTGATGTTAACATGTGAATTCCTGTGTGTTCATTGTGAGCACATATATAAACACACACACACACATATATTAGGATTAACTCTAAACTTCATTACTTTTTAAAGAGAGAAAATGACTGGTACTGAAGCTCAAGTAGATCCGAGTACTTTTGTTGATGTGTGTGTGTGTGTGTGTGTGCACTTGTGTGTCTGACTGTGATGGTCTCTGCCTTTAACAACAGCACAGACAAAGGGATGAGCTTGTAGCTGCCCCCTCCTCCTGCACATAAATTTAACCAGCCACATGCCTTACAGGAGCCGACCAGTAACTAAGGGCAATGCTGTAACAACGCTGGGCCGGGGCAGTCACAATGGCACCGCAGGTATCCACAAGTCAGACACACACACACACACACACACACACGTGTTTTTCTTTCTTCTGTAACAACACATGGCAATTTAAGTTCATTTTCTTTTTCCAAATTTCCGTCTCTGGTACCGATGCTGTCAGTTCACGGTCCTCAGCGTCAGCACAGCTTTAGCACCAGGGGAACACACACAGTGATCTTTGTGCGTCAGTCATTCGACAAGCCGAGCAGAACTCTGTGGGTGTAGCTGCTGTCATAGCTACAGACTCCATTCATAATTTGGATCATATGGCGATTACTCAGCTCCGCTGCCTCTACTCTGGAGTGCGCAGCAGCACACAGCTTTACAGGCACACTTACATACTGTACTATTGTGGTGGGCCATATCAACTGCCTGTTGAGTCCAACACACTGAGAAAGTTGGAGATGCTGATTTAAAAAAAAAAGAAAAGAAAAGTCACCTGTGAGCCAGTCTCAAGACAAACAGCTCCAGAAAGGCAGAGTCAACCAGCAAGTTCTGATCATCTCTCTGGAGGTCGGAGAATCCGGGAAGCCGTTCCGCCCAGCACCGTGTGGTCTCCATCGAGATGGTTAACAGCCTGTAGAAGAGCTGGATGTGCTCGGCGTCTGAAGAGGAGGAAGGAGGGTCAGCAGCACTGAACTGTGGACCGCGGAGAGGAAAGAAAAAAAAAAGGTAATTACTAAAATAACATTTAACACCTGCTGCAGTTTTCAACAAATGTTTTCAGGTTCATATAAAATCAATGCCGTCAGCTTTTTGGCGAGGGTACCTGGCTGTAGTCAAATTCTCGGGGCGTGCAGTGGGAATAGGCCCTGAGCAGAGCAGAGAGCAGGCTGAGCGGTGGAGAAGGTGGAGAGGCTTCTGTCTGCAGCGGGCTCTTTGGTTTGGAAGGAAGACGACCTCTGCGACCCTTCAAGCTGTCGGTACGAACCACTGTGGAGTAAAGAGACGATGTCAAAGAGGCAATAAAGTGGCTGGGCTGAAGCCGACACGTTGTATTTGTGCCACCTGACTGTGCTGTGACTGATGGGTATGTTATCAACTGGGCTGGTGATCAACCATCTCTCCATGAAATCTCCCAAACATTCCCACCTTCCTACAGAGGAGGCTGCTAGCCAGCAGATGGCAGTGAAGCTGTTCCTAGACTATGGGCAGTGGTTATGGGAAAGTGTGGACAGGGGTTTGTGTGTGTGTGTGTGTGTGTGTGTGTATGCACATTTTTTGGCATTGACAGCTAGGAAGTTTTTAGTGCTTACTCAACACACCAGAGTCAGGGTGGGATTTGAACCTTCAATCCTCTGTTTTTAGGCCTTATCACTAGGCCATGTAAGATAAGATAAGTCCTTTATTATAGATATTGTTGTTGTAATAAACGTTATTATATTTATATGTATATTAATATATATCAGTTAATAGTTTTTAGGGGCCAAAAGGTTTCTGCTAAGACACCACCTAGCGCCCAAATCCTGGAAATGATGGTTCCTCACACTTTTATTCTTCTATTCTTCTTAAGTTTAAAATTTAAAAGTGACTTTATTGTGTGCTGTTTGATCAGTCATACTTCCAACTGCATATAAAAGTTGGGTGGGGCCACAAACACTCATCAAACAAACACGAGGGCACCAGAATGGCTAGAGCCGCCTCTGTCTGAATCAGAACAATCCTTATATATATATATATATAATAAATGAAACTAAAGGTTGTTTTTCTCGGGGGTCCCACCTTCTTTCACCATGCCCACACTCAGACACTTCTGGAAGCGGCAGTACTGGCAGCGGTTGCGTCTCCTCTTGTCCACAGGACAGTTCTTACTGGCCAGACACACGTACTTGGCGTTTTTCTGCACGGTGCGCTGCAGAGACAGAGGAGAGAAGACCAATAATCAGCCTCCAAACACAATCATCCACTAAAATATGTGATTTGTTTAATTCAATT